AAAAAAAAGCCGAGTGTGCACACTGGATCCACACACGGGATCCCTGGGGCTGCTGGTTGAGCAGCCAGTCTAGTCTACTCAGTAAACTTCGGAACAACAAACTGTCTCAGAAAGAAGGAGGAGGGTGATGTAGTGAGACCCGGTCTCAAAAAACAATGACCAGGACTAGAGAACTGGCTCCAAGGTTGGGAGCACCTGTTGCTCTTGTCAGGACTCAGGTTTGATTCCCAGCACCCACAGTTTTAGAGGATGTGATGCCCTCTTCTGTCCGCCACAGGCACCAGGCATGTAAGTTACACATACACAGAAAAGAAAACAATCTAGAAAAGAAATTAAGTAGGACATCCATACATATAAAATAAAGTGATCTAAAAAAGAAACAAAACATAAAACTACATCTGAGCGCCCCCCAGTAATATGCTATTAAGCATCCATTACAGCCTATCCTCACAAGAACAATATCTAGGAAGGGACCCACCCTGTGCAAAGACACATCTGTGTGGATGTTTAAGACAGACCCTCAGAGGCATTCGTGTAAAATGTGCTCCATTGATTAAGTCACCCGACAAGGAGCCCGTTATTAAGACTTGGGGGGGCAGCAGCTACACAAGCCATCAAAGTACACAAAGGTTGTTGTCCCTGTTTGCTCAACCCAGAACTAATAAAGCTAACAGGGTATCAATGGCTGTCTTACAAGCACAGGATTCCCAGGAAAGATGCCAGCACATAAGGTCCTTGTGGAAACTCTTTGAAAGCCGTTTGGGATAGCTAGAATCTTTGCATTTCTTTAGCTTCTGCAGCCGTCTCCCTACTCACCCATGCTAGGCACTCTGCTACTTTTTCTCTTCCGTTGTCTATGCCTCTGGTGTCATGTTCAGAGAATTAATCCAACATCACAAAACTTTCCTGCTGTCTTCTAAGAGTTCTGTCGGTTTAGTCATTCTGTTTAGTCTCAGATCCACTGAACAACCCTCAATATGTAAGTGAAGGGAAGGCTCAGGTCCATCCTTTTACATGCCATCAGCCAATCTTCACAGCCCACCGTAGAAAAGCTATCTCCATTCCCCCTTCCCAGTGGTTTTGAAACCATTCAAATATCATTTGACCAGATTTCCTAATTAGCTTTGGCTGTCCACCTGACACAGCCTAGAGATCAAACAAGAGATCACCCAGGTCAGACTGGCCTTTGCAAGACTAGAAGGAACTGTCATGACCGATGATTGTTAGGAGAGGGCCTAACCCACTGAGGGCAGCACCATCCCTAGGCTGGTGAGCCTGGACTGGATAAGAAAACCAGCTGAGGCTAAGTATGGTAGGCTTAAGTACTACTACTTTCCAGCACTTGGAAAGCAGAGGCAAACAGACCTCTGTGAATTTGAGGCCATCCACATACAAAGTTCCAGGTTACCCAGGAATATACAGTTAAGACCCTTCCTGCCCATCCTCACCCCACGCCAAAAAAAAAGCTAGCTGGTCATTAGCCGTAAGCATGGCTCCTCTACAGATTCTGTTTCAAGTCTCTGTCTTGACTTCCCTCAGTGGTAGACCGTGACCCAGAAGTATGAGCCAAATAAACCCTTTCCTCTCCAAGTTGCTTTTTGTCAGTATTTGATCACAGTAACAGAATGACACTAAGATACCAGTTTTATAAGATTTCTTTCTGGGCTCCTTCTTCCCAACGTAAAAAAGAATAGAGTCAATCTAGGCCTATGCAGGACAGTAACCCGGTACTCAGGGAGCTGGAACAAGATGGCAAATTCAGAGTGTGAACTACGATACATGGCAGTTTCAGACCAGTCTGGACTGTAGTGAGACCTTGTCTTAAAAACAAAAACAAAATCCAAGGGCAGTTCACACTGCTTTTCCCTTGGTTCCAGTCATTTTATTTGCTGCACTTGCTCTCTTAATACCTCTCTATGTTATTTCTAAACCATTTCCTTATTACCTCCAGATATCCTAACACTTCACCCTTTCAGCATTTGGACCCCAGGAATAAAGGTTTTCCAACAAAATTACATTACCATTATTGCACGTAAGAGACCCATCAGGGTCCCAGACCTACGGCCTAGCAATTGTGCTTCACAGTGTAGTCCTAAAGAGTCTAGGACTGTAACAGATGTCCCTACACATGTCATTTCAATGGTCCAACCCAAGAGGGGCAAAATGTGGCATATGTGTCTGTGTCTAGTGGGGTATTATTCTTCCCGATAAAGGAATAAAGTTTTGATACATGCTGCAATACAGTTGTTCCTTGAAATGCCTATAACTCCAGCTCCAGGGGATCTCAAAACCTCTTCTGGCCTTCATGGATATCTCCGCATACACACGGCATACACCCACATAAAGGAAAATTGCTCATATATAAAGTTATCAAAATAAGAGAAAAAAATACTTCTCCTATCACCAGGTTTGTCAACAGGAATATAATGACATTTGGGCCGGTCAGTTCTTGTGGGGGTTGTCCTGTGCATTGGAGGACACCCAGCAGCCTTAATGGGATGACAGCAGCACCTCCCAGCTATCTCAGAAATTAACGTGAAATGTCAGCTGCATCTAGTGACACAGGCCTGTAACTGCAGATTCAATTTCCAGTACCACAATAAGCATACGTTTAACACCAGG